TCAGCCATAACTTCTAAACAGAGATACAAGACAATAAACACCAGACGGCCCAACAAGCCCAATATCCAAATAAATTACAAAGAACTTGGACCCATTAAAAGCCAATGTTCCAGTAGAATCGGGCCCAAATAAATCAACAAAACTAATTGCCCAACTAAAGAAAGTAAGAGCCCAAACTCAATTATATTGTAGCAAGCCCATACTTTCACGCCCAAAAATTACCTCCAGTACAAGGCCCAAATAATCACCAAATTACCTCCACTGTGATCACAACCAGCAATCCCGACACCAGAAATCGACAACTTCCACTCTTGCTGCTGTCGACGCCAGAAATTGACAGCTGCCAATCGGTGGTCAGAACAGAAATTGGCAGCGTCACTACCAATCGACCACAGAGAACCAACTTCCAGCACCGCGATACCCAACTCCAACTCCAGGGGCGATGTGACCAAAAAAATCCACAAACGGAGGCACGACGCGACTGATTACCCACAAACGGAGGCGCGACACGATCGATACCCAACGTCCAAGAGTCACGCTGCAATCGGTGACCTCGAATCCCAAAGAAACCGGCCAGAAATCTAAGATTGCCCCAAGTTATGGGAGAAGCCGAAGTAGTAAGAAGAAAGGAACCAAAAAAAAAAAAAAGTAAGGTTTCAGTGATGGGTTACAAATGTACGCTCTGATACCATGTGAACAATATTGTTTTTCCTTATCATTGGAAATGGTGATACACATATATATATACAAAGTTTAGGATTCTATCTTAGGAAAGTGTATAAATTAGGATACTAGAATAAGGTAATTAATTGATTACAATCTATAACACTCCCCCTCAAGTTGGAGCATAGATATTAATTATGCCAAACTGGTTACAAAAATAATCAACCCGNTGGAAATGGTGATACATATATATATATACAAAGTCTAGGATGCTATCTTAGGAAAGTGTATAAATTAGGATTCTAGAATAAGGTAATTAACAACTAATTACAATCTATAACACTTATAAATTTCGTGTTTTGTCGTAAATTTCGTATCAGTATTCGTATTACTGATGTCAACCTCATGCAAGAAAAATGATTAGATTAGCTGCAAAAGAAAAATAACTAAGTAATTATCAAATGAGTCAATTCCCAACAATGGCGACAAAACTTCTTGATATTTTATCATCTTACAAGGATTGATTATTAGTTAAATTGAATTAAAACCCACTTCAGGAAAATACGCAGAATTAAAATTAGGGTCCTGAGTTTGATTTTTCCTAATTAAGTGTCTAAACTAGGAAAATTAATAATAATGCTGGAAGAGAATATTTATGTAGAAATCAACTAAAGAAATATTTAGAAGTCCTTATTTCACTAATTAACCATTAACGTTCAATTCAAATGTTGACTCAATTATTGTGCTGTTGGTAATTAAAGTTAGGATAAAATATTAATGTTCACCTCTCGAGTACAGTTAACATATCCCTAAATATCGAATGTTCCGTTCTCAACGAATAATTCGATAAATGTAATGCATAAGAACACACGATAGC